GAGGAAAGATTGAAACTGTCAGTGATTTCACCCTACTTAGCTCCACAATCACCAGTTTTAGTACCAGCATTCAGGAGATGGGATGTATTGTTATTGGCAAGCCTGCCTGTCAGGGACCTTTCGAAAATATCGAAGAACAATCATGCCAGTTTGAAGATGAAGCTGTGCCTGTTTCATGCCATAGTCTCTTCAGTCATTTATTATGCATCGGCGAGCTGGACAGTGAATAAGGACAACAAAAGAATTGATGCCTTCGAGTTGTGTTGGAGAAGAGTGCTGAATATCCTGTAGACTGCCAAAAATCCAGATTCATTTCAGAAAAGGCACAACCAGAGTCCTCCTTGGAGGCAAGGATGGTGAAGCTTTGTCTCTCACACTTTGGACATGTTGCTGAGAGAAGCTGTTCCTTCAAAAGGCATGCAATGCTTGGAAAAATGGAGGATCAGTGAGTTATATTGACATCGTGACTGCAGCAATGGGCTCAAGTATATCAGAGATGATAAGGATGGCACAGGATAGGACAGGGTTCATTTCTGTTATTCATAGGATCACTATGAGTCGTACTCAATAGCACCTAACAACGGCATTCAGAAGGCTGGACTTTGTGGAGGAATGTGGCATCAGGATTGGAGGAGACTCATCAACAGTGTACGCTATGTGGATGACACAGTCTTGCTTTCAGAAATTGAGGACCTGAAGCGCTTGCTGCAGAAGGTCAAGGACTGCAGTCTTCAGTATGGATTGAGGTCCACATAAAGAAGACAAAATAGTCTCACCACTGGGCCAGTTGGCACCATAATAGATGGAAAATAGATAGAGGTTAATAATTTCAGCTTGTTTGGTTCCACAATCAACACTCTTGTCACGAGCAGTTAAGAAATCAAGACAAACTGTTCTGAGGAAGGCTGTTGTCAGGGACTTCTCAAAAGGGCTGCAGAAAAATGATGTCTGGAGATTAATGTTAGGCCATGGTCTTCACAATTACTTGCTATGTGTCAGAGAGCTGGACAGTGAATAGAGTTGACATAAGAATTGATGCCTTTGTGTTTTGGTACTGGAGAACAGTATTGAAGGTACCATGGACTATCAAGAGAACAAACAGGTTTATCCTGGAGAGGAAGAAACCAGGCTGCTCCTTGGAGGCAAGGATTTTGAAACTCCCATCTCACATAGTAAGGGCATATGATCAGGAGGGACAAGTCCCTGGAGAAGGACATCATACTTGAAAAGGTAGAGGGATAGTGCAGGAGAGGAAGACCTCAGATGAGATAGATTGGCACAGTAATTGGGCTAATGGGGGTAGGTGTGTCAGAGACAGTGAGACTGGCTCAGGTTAGAGTATAGAGATATTGTACATAGGGCTGCTATGCGTTGCAGGTGACTCAGTGGCACATAACAACAATGCATCTGAGAATTGGACAGTGATTAAGAGTGAAAGAACTGACATCTTAAGATCAGTCTTGGAGAAAGTGCAGCCATAGTGCTCCTTAGAGGCAAGGATGGTGAAGCTTTGTCTCCTATACTTTGTTGTGAGGAGGCTGTTCCCTGAAAAGGGACATCATGATTGTAAAGGTGGAAGTTCAGCAAAAGATAAGATGACCCTCAACAAGTTGTAGTGCTGACAAGCAAGGACAAAGCGTAGTCTTGTGAAGGAGGTACTCCCCAAATCACACTCCTGTACCTCACTCAGGCTGTGTAATGGCCAGAACGATTGCTTTTAAACACGAACTCTGTAAAGGTCTATAAGAAAAGATAGTTTCAGAATAGTCATGGTATTTTCAGTTGAATCCTGTGCACTTGAAATTTGGATAAGGAATAAAGAACAAGAAGATTGATGCCTTTGAATTGTGTTGTTGGTGAGGAGTATTGAATAGAACATGTGCTGCCCGAAGAACAAATCAATCTTGAAGGAGGTGCTCCTAAGAGGCAAGGATGGTAAAACTCTGTTTCATTAACTTTGGGCCTATTTTCAGAAGGAACTAGTGCTTTGAGAGAGCCACCATCGTGGGAAAGACGAGAATCCACGCAAGAGAGGATGACACTCGGCGAGATGAACTGGCATAATGACTGCACAGTAGGCTTGAACAGCCGTACAGACATGTTCTTGTGTATAAATGTGTAATTTAGAGTTGTTAAGTGTCGTCGAGTCGTAGGCGACTCAAAGCAACCCAATGAAGGAAAGTCCTCAACACTTGTGCGACTTTCATCCTCTCTCCAGGTTCATAGGGTTTCCGGAGTCAAGCTATTACGGAAGTGGTTGCCATTCCTGCTTCCAAGCTAGTTTTAATCCGGGGGCGGGGGGAGGGGGGCGAGGGAAGGGCTCCACCAAACACTGTCTGCCATGGGTAACCATTAATGCGCTTGACACATCAGTGTCACAGTCACAGCAACTATGAGTTACCTTTGTACGGCAAGTGGACACACCAGGGCTATATGACCTAGAAAAATGTTTGAACAAAAACAATGAAAGACCATTTTACCTGCGGCCCTCAGGCCCTTCAGTATTTTACCATTCGGGACGCCCAAGTGCTGGTAAACTCTGGGCCAGAGACCCCCAGTTCATCCGGCAAGTTCGCTCTGCCAACCCCCACTTGGGGCAAAAAGACCAGCACAAGCACCCGGAGCCTTCGATACCTGCCTCTCCTCAAGAAGCCAGAGGCTGCATGCAGCTGACACCAAGTCTCCCAAGACACTAGGTGTGGCCTGACATTTTAGTATTTTACCTAAATAATAAAAACGGAATTTAGAATTAGTTATGATAAATTCTATTTTCTAGGGAGTTTTAAACTGTCTTATAGTTTAAAATTAATGATGTGAAGTCAAGGGAGCTCTGGTGGCCTAGTGGCAAGAAGCTGCACTGCAGTCCCAGAGATTTGCAGTTCCAATCCATCAGATGCTCTGCTGGAAAAGGAGGGGCAATCTCCTGTAGCATTCAGGTCTAATTTGAAGGTACACACACACACACACACACAATTTTGGCGAGCTCTGGTGGCCTAGAGGCAAGAAGCTGCACTGCAATCTCAGAGCTACACAGTTCAAATCCACCAGGTGCTCTGCAGGAGAAGGAGGAACAGATCTGATTTGACGGTACACACAAAAAACCAATGAAATAAAATTTAAAAAAAAAAAATCATGATGTGAAGTCTACTTACATTTCCTTAAATGAAGCTCTTTTCCATTGTCTATCACCTAGTGTTTCTTCTACAAAATGAAGAGGAATGACAAAATACGGCACAAGGTTGAAGTTGCTCTCTCTCCATTATTTGTACTGACATTCTCTATTTATTTCAAAAAATCAAAACAAAACCCCAACTGAAATATATCCTGTATTTTTTTAAAAATCCAAAACAAGTTTTTATTCTTTGATATATAAAACCAGGAAACTTTAATACATAGTAAACACAGTATGTTTGTTTTTAAGAAGAAAATGGCACAGTACAGACGGCTCAAGAAACACACTCAAGCCATTCATTCTTAACTTCCAGAATTAGGAACAGGAATGTACAAGCATTAGAGCAAGACTGTCTTTCCTTTAAAAATTTATTCACATTTGCTTAACAAATTAAAGCAGTAAGAAACAGAACTTTCCTTCTTGATAGCAGACCTAGTTATTAGTAAGATGCTGAAACCATGACAGTAAAAATAACTTATTACAAGGACATGCCTTTGAATTGTGCTCGAGAAGAGTATTGAATATGCCATGAACTGCTAGGAGAACAAACAGGTTTGACCTAGAGAGGGTGAAACCAGGCTGCATGTTAAGAGGCAAGGATTTTGAAGCTCCATCTGACATACTTTGGGCCTGTTGCAAGGAGAGACCAGTCCTTGGAGAGGGACATTATGCTTGGGAGGGTGGAGGGACAGCACAAGGGAGAAAGACCCTGCATGAGACAGACTGACTCAGTGACTGGGGTAATGGGGGTAGGTGTGTCAGAGACAATAAGGTTGTCTCCAGATAGAGCAGCATTCAGAGGTGAAGTACATAGGGTTACTATGTGTTATCAGCGACTTGATGGCATGTAAGAAGGACTCGTGGCAGAAATGAAGTCTTAGTTTTGGCTTGATAATACTTAGTTAAGAGCATGTCTTGGTGTCAGATCAGACACTGCCATCTCACCAGTGCCCTGAAGTTTGGGGGGCTTGAGTCCTCACTGACCAAGGAGGAGCACTGGAGTAGGTCACCAACCTACTGAGCAAAGGTGTAGCAACCACAGCTATGCAAAGATGATGCTCTCCGAAAGAAGGAAAAGAGCAAAAAGAAAATTTTGGGGACACAGTTTTGGATGGTGCTCTGGAGGCAGTCTTCAATGGATCTAGGGAAGCTTTAGTTGGTCAACATTTAGTTATCAGTGTGTGTAAATAAAACATTTCCTTCCTTGACATTGTAGTCAAACATAAAAATACAGTTCATACAAAATGCCACTGGGGCAGAATAAGCACCTGCAGGGACATATGGGGGATAGATCTGGTTCACCTTTTAAGGCAATACATGCACCACCTCCTGGCATGTGATGACACCTCATCTCACCACTGTGCCACTTGGCATCCTCCAGCCATGTCCTCTCTAATGTTGCAGTCAGGAGTTGATGACTGAAGGAAGTACTTGAAAGCATCAGTTTTAAGATCTAAGGGAAATTTTTTTCTAAATATGGCCAGATCCTTTGTCCAGTTTACAAAGCTGCCAGGAAATGCATATGGTGCCAACATGACCCTGGAACATTTGTGGAGAAATCCAGCAAAAATAGTCTTTTCTAGCCAGTGAGTGAAAATGAAGGAAAGGGCTGTTGGAGGAGGAGGATAAACAAAGAGGCCAGTAGAAGATGCAATTACTTCTCCTACTTTATAATTGAAATACAAATGTAAAAATATTTCCCTGTGGTAACTGGACTGGCAGTTCTAGCCGTGTCTGGGCACACTCTGTACAGTGGGCCCGGCTTGTTAGAGTGGCTGCCGGCCCGGTAGAGAGTGACCACTGGCCTGCTAGAGTGACCACTGGCCTACTAGAGAGTGACTGCAGGCCCATGCTCCTCCACACCCCCTGGAGGCAGCGCCAGACTGTGCCGGGGGTCAGCTTTAAGGGAGCTCAACAGTCTGTGGATGCTGCCATTGGCTTCACGACCCGAGCTGCAGAGGGCGAGGTCTCTGGTCAGCCGCTGGGCCAGGCCAGTGCCGTTGACACGGGTCAGGCTGCCTAGCTGTGTCCGGGGTGTGGGTGGGGGCTCCAGTGCGCCCTCAATGACAATGTCCGCCTCCTCGTCACTCTCCATCTCGTCCGGGTGAAAGTTCTGTAGCACGTGCGCCGGGGGCAGGCTATGCGGGCTGGCCGTGCTGTCAGTGGACTGGCCGGAGCTGCCGGATGTGCGACTGCTGCGTACCACATTGTTGCGCTGGTTGGCTGGCTTGACGGTGATGATGAGGTTGTGGCTGTTGGCGATCATCATGTCTGTGGCCTGGTCCAGCGTCTTGCCTGCCACCTCGATGCCATTCACCTCCAGCACCTCGTCGTTGACAGCCAGCAACCCAGTGCTCTCAGCGAGACCACCAGGCACCATGCGTGAGATGAAGATGCCCGGGACCTTCTCTAGGCCCTGCGCGGTCACCCGCACGCTGGTGCCATCCCGGATGTAGAAGCCCAGTGGCTTCTCGCAGCCATGCCGGTACAGTCTCACCCTGCGGTGTGTTTCGGGCAGGATGTCCACGTCGATGATGGAGGACACAGGTCGGAAGTCGCGCGGCAGGCCGATGGCAGGGGGCGTGCGGCGGCGCAGGCCCTCCTCTCGCAGAGCGGCCAGCATGCGCCTCTTCCTGGACAGTGCGCCTGCCCCGAAGCTGCAGCCATCTGCCTCTTCTGCAAGCCCAAAGAAAACAACAGTTAGGGGCACTCGGCAGGGGGCTTCACCTTCCCTGCGTAGCATCAAGGATCTTTCCAACCCTTGTGTGTGATAGGATTGTATGCAAACACACGAGAGTCAGACAGTGAGAATGGAGATGGTCTGAGCCTCACACAGCCCTTGTCGGGCTCACCCTTCTGTGAACGCTTGCCAGGATCCAGCTGGCCCTCAGCAGCCATATGCTCTGATTACGTGTCTTTTGCCAAAGCCCTCGAGGTGCCCTGTGGTCATTTCTAAGGGCAGGGTGGTCAAGTCTTTCTCCACCGAACCGTTGGTTCATTAGAACCACAAACCTTGCTTAGCAGCTGAATTCTTAACTCTTAAGCCACTAGGGCTTCTTGATTAAAGAGGCTGGAGTGAGGTCAACAAAGACAGCCGACTGAGGGTCCTGTGGCTCAGGAGCTCCAGGACCTACCCTGAGACCTGGCCAGAAGGTGGACCTCAGTCATGGCAGGCAGGACATGGCTTGGGTGCCTGGGAGTTTGACCTTATCAGTCTCAGAGAAGTCGTGGCACGTGTAAGAGAGAGATAGTTCTGATCAAGGTAAGGAGAGTCCTTTCCTATATAGAGTGTGAAGTGTCTGCAGACCAAGCACTCAGTGTGACTCCAAGGTGTTCCTCAATGCCACATGTGGACAGTTAGCCACGCTTGCTCATATGTGGTATTGCTGCTGGTGTGTACTACAAAACAGAGTGCTGGCTGGCTACATGCAGTGCCACTGGGGAGTCAAGGAGGGGAGCCCCCACGCCAAAGAAGCTTCACACTCCCTGAACTCTGATGAAGCTGTTCAGACCCCCCTCTGTGAAGACAACAGGCCTCCTTTGGGTGCCTGCCCAGGGTGGCTCTGCCCTCCTTACAATGCTCTCACTCAGGTGAGTGATGCAGCAAGAGTGCTCTTTGTGGGCAAGGATGGCAAAGCTTCGTTCCACATACGCTGGGCATGTTGCTAGGAGGGGTTGTTTCTTGGAGAGGGACTTCATGCTTGGAAAGGTACAGGGTCAACAAAAGAGAGGACAGAATTTAGGTCTGTTATTCACAGGGTTGCTGAGTTGTACTGGACTCAGTGGATGCATAACCAGCACCACCTTTACCTCGGTTCACTGGGAAAATAGTTTGGAGCATCTCCCCTAACCCCCACCCTGAAGAGTTCCTTTGGAGGGAGGCTACCCTGAGTGTTTGCTCACGCTTCCCAGGTGGATTGACATTTTTTGAGTAACCTGTTAATGACTTGATGGTTTAATACTTAGTAGCTCAGATCTGAGTTGAGAGAAAACTGAGGATAGGATGAACTCTGGTCTGGTAAAGGAGGCCCCACCTTGTAACTGACAAGGATCAGGGTATAGAAATAGCTGAAATGCAAACATTTTCAGAGGTCTGGTTGGGAGATGCTAGCTGAGATCTTAGGCTGGCTACATAATAGACAAGTGGGAGTTAGGTGGCCCCAGGCTGGCTGTGAACAGAGACCCTGATGACAGGCCAGATGGCAAAGAGCAACTGCTTAGAGCTGAATAGGCTGCTACACTGGCTGTGAGGTTGGCCAGTGGCAGAGAGGCTGATGGCAGGCAGTCCAACAGTGTGGAGGAGACCTGGACAGAAGAGAAGGCAGCTTCCCAATGGAATGAGCTGGTCAGCAAAGATCCTACTGCTAACCAGCAGACACCTGCGTGTACTGATGCTCATCCTAAGATGTTGCTATGGTTTCACTGTTGTGCCTGATCTCCAGTTACTTTCCTAAGAACCACACAGATTTGTACAGTTGGTGGGTTTGGTGCAATGAATTTCTAACCTCAGAGAAGTAGAGTTCACAATGAGGGCAGAGAGCAGCTCTTGCCAGAAATGATAAGAGAAATAGAAAGGCAGAGGCATACCTGACAGCTGCCTCATAGGAACCAGGTCTGTGTGAGAATAAGATTCTCAGTCTTACTATTCATGAAGTTAGACTCATGATCTAAATTGGGTTAGACCAGATGCCCACCCTCACTCACTTCATGACAGGCTGTGTGGCCCTGGCCCAGTGAGAGCGGTCTGAGAGGACGTGGAGAAATCATCCTCTACATTCCTAGGATTCCAACTCTGGTTTCTAAGATACCATTTTACAATAATAAAAATCATCACAGCGTCTCTGTAAGGCAACATTTAAAATTTTACAATTCTAACAAAGAAGATAATGAAAGGAATTCTAAGTTTTTTAAAGCAAATGCCTGTCCCTCTCTCTCTATTGTCAGATATTTTCACAAAGTTTTAATTATACTTTCTTTTAACATGTTTCAGTGAGGAACTCTGGTGACCTACTGAGTAAGGAATTGTGGTGCCAACCCACCAGCATGCAGTTCAAACCCACCAGCTGCCCAAAGATGGGCAGTCTCCTCCCATCAGCTTCTGAAAACCCACTGGAGGGTCAGCTTGGAGTCAGTTCCAACTTATCAGCATTATAACAACAACTCTGTTTCAATAGAGTGAGAAATAAAAATTTGTCCCAAGAAAACTGTGATGATTATAAGTTTTCATATTAAAGATGATCTGAGAAATTTCCTACACGTCCATCCCCTAATATTATGTGACCTAGTCCACAGTGAGCTGTGCTGCTAACCCGAAGTGGTGTCTCTGTGGTGGTTCGAGTCCACCAACCTCCAAAGGAAAAATATGGGCAACATCTTCACTGCAGTTTGTAGCCTTGGAAACACAGTGGAGGGTCAGTATTAAGTTGGTTCTGTTCTCTGGCCGTGAGTTTGTTTTTAATTTTGTTTGCATGAGAAAAAAAACCCCAAAAGCCCTTTCTCTCTTTGATGAAGCCCCTGGAGTCACAGAATCTGCCTAAATTCTTTCCTGCTTGATCCCAGGCAGAACATCTGATAGGACCGGAACAAAGGGAGGACAGGAGATGAATTAGGGTGGCTGTAGAAGGTAAGGAATGGGGTGAAGGATAGAACTTCAGGGATGGAAGAGGCCATCAGGATGGGAATAAGGACAGGGAAGATCTGAGGGGAGGCATGTGGATGGGTCCACGAAGAAGAGTAGCTGCAGGTTTTGTACAGGTTGTGGGAGTGATAAGGAGGGAGGCTATGTGAGGCGAGTCAGTGAGGACTATTAGGAAGAGCTTTGAAGTGAGAGGAGCAAGGAGGATGAGGAGTGCATGAGGACACACCAACCAGACATTGTCTGGGAAGAGGCCAGATGAGGACGGCTGCTTTGGGAAAAAGGTCCTTCTCATTTTCCAGCAGTGACCTTGATGACCATCTCTCAGTACATGCCACATGTGGGAAGTTCAGAGAGGCCAGCTCCTTTGGGGTCATCAGGAGTGACCCATGAATCACTGAGGTCTCTGAGCCAGGTTCTATCTTCCCTGTAGCTGAGAACGTCCTTCTGGCTGACACCAGCCTAAAGCCTTGGGAGACACCTTTATGCCCTAGTCATCTAGGTTTCAATTGTTGTGTCAGGCATGACACATGACCATATAAAACCATGAGCACTGCCGACCACCTTGGCCTGGGATCTGCTGCCTACTCTACCTAGGGACAAATGGTTTCCAAGCCATTTGTGATGGAACCTGCAGGGCACATCATGAGTGTTCTGTCATCAGAGCCACCACTGTGAAGGCACTATTATGGTTGTCATTGGTCCATCAAACTGGAACTGATGACACTAGTGGGTTCTCAGAGGCTCGAAATTGCATGAGAGGAGAATGCTCATCTTTCCCCCGAGGAACAGCTGATGGATTTGAACTACCTGCTTTTGGGTTGGCAGCACAACTCATTAACACTAGGTTACCAAAGGTCTCTTGAAAGCTGTTGTTGTTTGCTGCCATTGGGTCAGCTAAGACTCATAATGACCCTATGAACAATAAATCTGAATCCTACTCTATCCTGTACCATCCTCACCATCTTTGTCATGTTCAGGTTCACAGTGGGAGTCACTGTGCTGGTCCATCTTGTCGAGGGTCTTCCTCACTTTGTTTTGACCTCCACCTTTCCAAGCATGATGTCTCTCCAAGGATTGTTTCCTTCTGAGAATATATTCAAAATAAGTGATACAACGTTCACTACCCATGCCATTAAGGAGCACTCTGGTTATACTTTCTTTAAGACAAATTTGTTCTTTTGGCAGTCCCTGGACTGCCAATTTAATATTCTTTGCTAATACCACAATTCAAAGCATTGATTCTCCCTCAGTCTTCTTTATTCATTATCCACCTTTCAGATATATAGAAAGCATTAGAAAATACCATGACATAGGTCAGGTGCCCCCTAGTCCTTAAACCAACATCTATTCTCTTCAGCACTTCGGCAAACTCCTTGACAGTGTTTTTTCCAATGCAACACATCTTTGTTTTTCCTGACTCACTCAGCATATCTTAAGCTCAAGGAACTGAAGAACAAATTCAAACCTCGAGTTGCT